TTATCTGAGACTTTTTCAAGAAGAAGTTGCAACTTTGATCATGTCCTTCACATGATGCACGAAGCTCAGCTCGGTTTCAGCCGAAACGAGGGAGGATGTCTCGTGGCCTGCGTCAAGCTGAGCGTGAAATTGAAACCAAACGGCTGCAATTCAACCAGTATCAGACCTCGTCTTCTAGTCAGATCAACCTATAAATCTCTTTTCCGTGCACTTTTATACGAAATTTAAGTCTGCCTAGCAATACTAGTCTATAGTTTGGTGGGAATAAAATGCTATTCACAGTTTCACGGTTTATACTAATTTGTTTAGAGCCTGTTTTCGGAAGGTGATGAGAAGCAAACGACTCCAGAATAGAGGCCAGACTCTTCAATTGGAACGTTGAAGAAGGAGCTGGAGCACGAAAAGTGCGATCAGATCGTCGAATTAGGGCCAGACATGCGTGCCTGACACCTGCAGGTTGAAAGGGACAGTTCATAAAGGAAAGTGTCTTGGGGCGCAAGGGTTCAGCGGAGAGCACATGAGTGGCTGATCCTTAAACGAAATGATGCTTACCGGTTTTCGGAGAGCTCCGAATTGGTTGGTTTCTCCAGTCTCAAAATCGCAATCAGCAGCTGAAAAGGAAAGATGCATGAACACTGAGATGAGTGATTATTTAACATTCCAAGTATATTTTTGTTTATAGAAAGCTATTGAGATTAACGCTAGTTTTGTAGACGAGTTGAATTAACGAATTAACCCTATTTCGTAGGAGGTGATGAAAAACTGATAGTGGAGCTTTATTCCCAATTATATGTTTCCATTGAATTTCACATGGCCCTACTTCTCAAAAGGTAGTAATGTCTGAGCACTTGTGGCAGTGTGGCGTAGCGGTTACCGAGTTGAGATTGTACGCTGCACGAACCGGGTTCGAGTCCCGCTGCGAGTGCCGATGAGACCAGTTCAGACGAGGTCGAAACTGTAGCCCAGTTGCCATTTTGGAAACAGGGCTATGTGAAATTCATGGAAGGCATATGATTGTGGAAAAAGCTAGACTACTAGACCTTCATCGTCTTAATCAAAATAGCGCAAATACAGGACTTACATTCTAAAAATATGTCATAAAATCCATTCAGACAGGAGATAGAGATCCGATTCGACCAAAAGTCACATCTCAGAAACTGGCTTTCCCAAGTGGCCGGCATAGCCAAGAGTCAAGAATCAACCGAAAGAATGTTTGTGAAGAAAAGTTGGTTTTCTTGACTCGTTAGCTTGAATTTGGTTGTGACGATGATACCTCGCTCTGATGATGTCCGTCATATGACGAACGTAATCTTTGCACCTTTTCATCGGAATCGAAGGAGATTGTCTTGGAGACATCGTCAGCATGAATGTTCCAGTAAAGCCAATCGACAGCTGGTCAAGAGGAATCCGACGTCGTCTTCCGGCGGAACCGACCTTCGAATCTCTTCACTAAAACACTTTTACTCGAAATGGAAGTAAGCTCAACAGAAAGAATGTTCGGGATTAAGACCCTCATTCAAACATTTTCAATCTACTTTCACCACGAACATCCTGGCACCGTATTTTGCGGTAACTGTCGGAGTGAAAATTAAAGGGAAGATGGAACTTTGGTTCTACACTTCTTCGGGCAGAGGCGCTATCGGTCCGATGAAAAGGTTAGTCAAAATCAGCCCACCGTAGGGCACCGGATAGCAACGAAACAGAGCTGAAATAAGCGCCAAATTCTGATTCTCGTTCAGAGCAAAAGAAGCAGTGAAGAGAACGGTGGCTGTTTGTAGAGTGGATCTGCTGTAACGCCTGATCGGATCATAGTCCGCGTAACGAATAATATGTTTGAACAAGTAGGAACAAATAAAATAGTCAAAAGCTACAATTGCCGGTCAGTGTAGCACCATGCTTTGTGAAACACATGTATTTACAAGTATGAAATTCGTGTATGTTCGACTGCTTTCAGCTCGTTCTGACTTTTGCTATCTTTTAGTACACTTTGGATTTAGAACATGCTCATCACTTTCATGAAGCCTGAACATCTTCTACTGTCTGCTTATTAACCAAACACGCTGTTGCTCGCCCTTGGTCTTGACGTCTTTGCAAAACGCTGCAAAACCACGCCAGAGACTGCCTGATGGAAGATCTCAGAAAAGAGCATGAAATGCGAGAATTCTATTCCGCTTGCCTACAATCAAAATATTACAATCATATTTTAAAATGGAGTCTTGAGACTACTAGTAAATCAGTAATATGAAATGTATTCACCCAATTTGGCTGAAGGTGATGAAGGATTGGTAGAAGAATTTTCCCAAAATGATATGAGTAGAGTTGACGCTTCAATTGAAGTTCACATAGCCTTGCTTTCCCAAAAGTTGTTCTCATCCTGGGTGGACTGCAGTTTTGACCTCGCATCGGGTCTTATCAACACCCTCAGCGGGATTCGAACCG